GGTCACTGGTGCCCATATCCATCAGTCACAGTGCGAGGGGCAGGGTACACCCTGGACAGGTCGCAAGTCCATCACAACTGCCATCCGCGTACTTTATATATTGAGAAATATAAAAAAATAAAAGTTCATTAAAAAAAAACCAACACACACAAAGTACCGAAAACTGGTACCATTTAGTACCGGTACGTTTCCCAGGTACCGGATATTGGTACCGAATCAATTCAAATGCTAAAGGTACCCATCCCTACCCTCACCTCTGGTCAGGAGATGTGGATCATGGCTGAAAAAATGAGATCTTGGATAAGCAACTTAATGAATTTCCTCCGTACTCTGCAGAGCTGAGATAGGGAGAGGAGCTCTGTCATCCAGTTTCCTTCACTGATGTTTAGTATCACAGCTGGACTTTGTCACAATCTGTTCCAAGGTGGGGCTGTCAGGTGGAGCAGGTGTTTAGTACTATTGTCTTGTAGCAAGTCCTGAGTCTGCCAGCTGAGATACTGCTTAAAGTTTCCATGTTTGCCTTGTTCATACGGGTCTCAGCAGTACATGGGAGGTGGGGGGATTTCTTGACTATGTGGGAGGAGTTTGCCCTAACCATCATTGGTAGGGTTCCTGGGTGTGGGCATAGTATGACAAAACCTTGATTTTTTCTGACTGAATTGTCTTGTAACAGAACAATATTTAAATACAAATTATTGTGAATTAATATTCATTTTAAAAAATGGCAATCTTTTTCAAGGTGGGTTGAATTGTTACAGTACAACAGTTCCTTTCCACAGACCATGCTTAGCTTAATTGGTTTTTAGCTTAATTGGTGAYTGTAAATTGTCCCTAGGTGTGAGTGGGAATGGTTGTTCATCTGTGATCTGTGATCCAGGATATATTTCACCTTGTGCTCAACAACCACTGAGATCCACATCCTCACACTGAACAGGATCAGGCAGGTAAAGGACATGGATCAGTGGTTGTTCACTCATACATCACTATAATGTCACATGCAAGTGTGGAAAGTAAGCAGAATAAGGTATCTGATTTCTGTTCTCTTGAACAATGACCCCCATCAGTGGAAGAGTGTGTTGCCATGTTTTTGTTACTTCTTACTTTGTGACTGCTGATTTAAGATTGTTTTGCAACTACAGAACTTGGGCACCTTTAAGTCAATGAGCCGATCATGAACTTTTCTGTAGACCAAAGAATTCTAGAGTCAAATGTGAGGCTATTTGTCCCACAGCTGAAAAGACTACTGTACATCACAATGTCCCAGTCAAAGTCCTGACCTGAATCTGACTGAAAAAATGTGGTTAAGTCCTCTGACAAAAAAACAGAAGATATCTGTAGCTAGATAGAAAAGGCAGTAAAGCTTGGCAGGACTTTGGTACCAGAAACAAAACCATGAAAAGCTCTGGACTCAGATAGTCACTGACAGCTGTGTCAATGAGAAGAGTTCATTTGGGTTAGGATCTTTTTGCTGATAAGATTTGTTTAAAAGACTCGTCTCAAAGGTTGGAAATGTTTGACTGCTTTGAACTGACATATCTGGGATTTTCTGCTCAATGGTACTTTGTAAAAAATTGAGTCAAACAACAAGGCTCCTGTCTCCTCTACGTTTTCTACACAACCTTCACCATACTTGTTTATCTCCGTGCAAATCAACTTGTACAGCTTGGGGAAAGTTCTTTCATCAAGAGCCAGGTCTGAAAAACAAATAATACAAACTTTTATCTAAATACCTGGATCAAACTGAATGAGAGATGAGGGGTTCCTTAGAAAATCTTTTCCAGCCGTTGCAGTCCCTTCTTTTATCTGAACAAAAGAAGAAATATGTTTTATACATGACAGATGATTCAGTTCAAAGTGTGTATGCTTGTACTACTAAGATTTTCATAGTTATTAAACATAAATAGGTCTTATGCTCATCAGGTTCCGTAAGAAATTACTTTCAGACCTCGACAGTGACATATGATGACTCAGCTAAATTCCCCTTTCGAACAATGTCCAGTGAGATGGTTCCCTGCTCCTCACACACTGAGACCTGAGACTGAGAAAACCCCACGCTGGACCACTTGAATTCAAGGCTGCAAAGACAAGGTGTAGCCATAAAGAAAACTGGCTTTTTAAAATATGAAAATGGTAAATGATAAATGCATCCTTGTCTTGTCTCACGTGTGAGTGGGCCCTGAGTTGCCCAGAGGATCAGAGACTGTGAACTGCAGACTGTCTGAGAGGGACTCCCTGTCGGAGGCGATGATGTAGACAATAGTTCTTTTGTTAAGCTCCACCTGAGAGAAACGCTGGGACACAAACTGTCCTGTAAGAGAAAAGCAAGTCGTTTGTATCACTCCAAATTAAGGTATTGCATAGACTGATATACAAAAACTTATCTTGACCTGTGGCAATGTTTTCAAGGTAACCAAAAAATGGTGGACGAATGATGGAAAATATTATCTCCTCATCACTGCAGTCATCTTGAGCCTTCAGCTCTCGGGCTGACAGGAAGATCCCATATCGGCCATCTGCTAAAACTTCTGCTTTCCACAGAGGGAGTAGCTTCTTGACTTCAGGAGATGATTTATCCAAAGGCTTGATCTGAAAACACCATTTGATCAAAGAAGACTTCATCAAAAGTTGCTTTTTTGTGTGTGGAAATTACATAGAAAGTATCACTATGAGTTATACAGTGTGAAACTTTAAGAATTTTTCAGTTTACAAAAGAATAATGGGCCTCATGCAAGAACATGTTCATATTCTTATCCTAAATTTCTCTTACTTTTGTTCATATGAAGTGTTCATACGAACATGTCACGTCAGATTCAACAAACTCTTCTATCTTCAGGAGAAGTGTGTAAATGAGCTGTGTAAACTGATGAATGTGTATCAGGTGCTGTGCACGGGGAGAGGTGATTAGCATAATTACCACCCCAAAAACATTGTATAAGGCTACGTTTCCTGCCCCACATACCAGGAAGTGTCCAGTCATAAATAATATCGCAAAGTAAAAAAGAAGAACTTTACGAGTTCGGAGGTTGAAGTTCTGCTCTCAGAGATCCAGAAAAAAGAAATGTCTTTTTTAGCAGTGTCAGCTGGGGAATTAAAGGAGCTGCTTTAAAGCTGAGGAATGAAATGACTGCTGTTAATGTCGTGTCTCCTGTCACAGAAATAGTCAAACTAATGAAATATAAAGTTATTAGTGAGAAAAATCTATCTAGATAACAGCAGACTGACTGCTCATAAAATATACGACAGGTCTGGACCACTCGTGAATTTTATTCGTATCTGAAGAAAATCTTACAATTCGAGAAAATTGGTGAATGCCACAAATTCTCCTAAATCACTCGTACGCACAACTTAAGAACAAATCTGTGCGTACGAATGGTTCTTGCATGAGGCCCAATGAGAGTATCCGAAACAACATTCATGATCACCCACCTGGATGGTGAAGAACACAGGATCTGTTTGTAAGCGTTCATCCAGCAGGAAGCCCCGAGCTGAGCTGTCAGAGGCCGTGAAAGCAAATCTGTCGATTTGCGACGGGCCTCCGTTGTGYTTATAAGTCAGCTCAAACTTCTTTATGTCTCTCTGGGTAAAGCTGGAGCCAGCTGTTAGTGTGCTACCAGCTAAAACCAGACTGCCATACTGCGGTGGCTGCTGGAGGATGAAGGTCAGGGCGCTGGGTGGAGTGTCTGGGTCCACCAAGGACAGGCAGTCAGGACCAAGGATCATGGCAGATCCTTGAGGAACTGTGAGACCTTTGTTAGCGATCAGAGATGGGAGGACGCGATCCACCATTTCCACCAGAACCTCAAAGCTTCCATTTCGGCTGGTTTTACCATTGCTGACAACAAAGCTAAAAAACAAGTAACAGACTGGGAGTTAGTTTATAGTGTAGCATGATTAATGCCATCTGAAATACTGGTGTTAAATCTGTTAGGAATATTAAATGCACATCTATATAATATTTTAGTTTTTTTTACAAGTTTTGCACATACATCTGGTGTTGTTACTAATCAAAGAGTACAAGATGGTTAAACCATTTTAAATGAGAACTATTAAAATGTCATTTCAGTCACATTAGAGAGGTTTTAGAAATGAAATGAGACAACTATGTTGTCTAAAGTGTCAACAAGTGCAATTTTTAAAGTCAATGCAAAAGCATTCAGCACCCTTTTCACTATTCATATTCATCACAGATCCTTCTCCTCTAGCTTTAGAAAAGCAAAACAAGCACTGAAACAGGCTGCGGTGATGTTTAGTGGCAGTTAATTGTATGAAGTTGATTGAATAATTAAAAAAAACTTTAAGATGTTTTCACACACTACAATAAATGGTAAATGGACTGTACCTATTAACACACATTTATTCAATACTCTACAAAGCTAATGCAAATAAATCAATCTATAGAGACTAATCAGTGCTTTAAATCACATTCATACACTGATGGGACACATCAGAGGCAGTGGAGCTTCAGTGTCTTGCCCAGTGACCCTTTGACATGTGTCAGAATAGCAGGGAATTGAACCGCCAACTCTCGCATTAGAGGAACAACTGCCCTAACCACTCAGCCACAGCTGCCCAATAATCCTAAATGGTTAATTAACATTGAAAACATCATTAATTAAGGATGATTCATGTTTAATAAGGTACAAATTAGCACAATTATAAATAAAGACTAATTGCTTCCAAAACCAACATACACATTGCTCATTCATGCAATTAAATATTCTAACTATTATAGTTAAAGTTCATTTTCAGATCTAAAATTTCTAGTCTTTTATTGACCTGTGGTTTTTGGACTCACTGAAAAATCTCTTTCGTCTTGGTGGCTCGGTTGTCATGGACATACGCCACAAGGTTTGCTGCTATGTCCATCTGGTTGAAAGTGGAGATGACCAGTCCAGGATGGTTGATGTACTCTATGTGTCCGTGATCAGGAGGCTTGGTGATGACATACAGAAGCTCCTCTGGTTTGTTGGTACCATCTGTAGCCAGCAGAACATTTGTGTTGAGAACAACAYGATCACCGCGGCTGACATTCACTGGTTTCACAAAGATGGCAATGTTTCCTGGAAAACACATGCATAAAGTAAAAAAATAAATAAATACTTCAGGTAAACCAAAACATYATGCCTAACCTCAGTAAGTAGACTTTATCTAAATTTACAGTAACGCTGACAAAGACTTTGACACTAAGTCTTGTACCTTTTTCCAATTTTTTGACAGAGATGAGGAAATGCTGTGGTGGGGATTTATTCTTTCCATCCAACAAGTGGAAGATGAAGAAGTCTTGTGTTTTGGCAGCATGAAGGTCAGTGTGGATGTAACGCAAAAGGTTCATGTCCACCATATCCTGGCTGCAGTTCATTCCAGCTGTCAGCGTTCCCCATGTCTGGCCTTCCTGAGATAAGATAAGCAACTGTGAGAAGAATACTGCCTCTGTCTGCGATTAACCCTAAACCATGTTCTTTTTCCACATTAAATTTACATTTTAATGTCCCCCATTGACAGCTCTCTTATCAGTGGGACTGGCTGTGTGATTCAGTCTGAGCAGATTTTCTTTGGATGGGTGTTTTGTTCTGGTGCAATAGGTGAGTTTGGATTAGTTGGTGCTGTTTTGAAATAGAACTAGGTCATAGACATGTCTGGTAACACATGATGGCCCAGAGTATGGTTTAAGCCTGTCTTTGTTTTGATTTGTGTGCTTTTGGTTTATGAAAAAAGTTTTTACCATTATCATTTGTTTGTTTCAAAGGTTGTATTAGTAGTAAATTACTGTAGCATTAGTAGTTAATTAATGTAGTTTTATTAGTTAATTACTGTAGTATTAATAGTTACTGTAGTACTAGTAGATAAATAATACCCAGTAGTAGTAAATTACTGTAGTATTTGTAGTTAATTACAGGAGCATTAGTAGTTAAATACTGTAGTATTTGTAGTTAAATAATGTAGTATTATTAATTAATTACAGGAATAATAGTAGCTAAATAGTGTAGTATTAGTAGTTAAATAGTGTAGTATTGGTGGTTACTGTAGTACTAGTAGAAAAATAATACCCAGTTGTAGCTAATTATTATTGTAGTATTAGTAGATAAATGGTGTAGTATTAGTAGTTAATTACAGGAGTATTAGTAGTTAAATACTGTAGTATTAGTAGTTACTGTAGTACTAGTAGATAATTAATGCCCAGTAGTAGTTAAATACTGTAGTATTAGTAGTTAAATAATGTAGTATTAGTAGTTAAATAATGTAGTATTAATAGTTAATTACAGGAGTATTGGTAATTAATTACGGTAGTATTATAAGTTACTGTAGTATTAGTATTATTAGTAGATTTTTCATGTTTTTTTTATTCCATTTTGTATTTCTTTAGTTTTACAGAGTTCTGGTGAAATACTTATTTTTTTCCTACTTTGTTGTTGGTTGATATATTTATCTTTTCATGTTTTACTACCTCCATCACAGAGGTTTTGTTTTCTGTAGTGTTCGTTTGTCTGTCTGTTAATCTGTGCCCAAGATTACTCAAAAACATATTTTGTGGTCAGGACATGTTGAGGTGGTCACAAAGAACATCTCATAAATATTGGTAGTGATCTGACAACATCTGGCAGAGCTGCAACTCACCTGATATGGCACAGACAGAAAATAAAAATTAAAAAAGAGAGCATACCTAGTTGTTATGATGTCATATTGTGAAAGCCAGTCAGCATTCAGCACAGCTTTGTTGCACTAATCACAGCATATCAGCTGCACACATTCATTTATATAACCTTGGGTCTTGGTGGAGGTTTCTAGTTATCAGATTGCTTTTTGCTAGAAGATAGTCCTGTAACCGGTGGTTTACTGGTTCAATCACCCATTCCAGCTCTCTCAGTCGTGTCCTTGAGCAAGACACTTCACCCACCTGATGGTGGTCCGTGTGTCTGGTGGCTCCGGTTGCATGGCAGCCTCGCCTCTGTCAGTGTGCCCCTGGCAGCTGTGGCTACAATGTAGCTTACCACCATCAGTGTGTGAACATGTGTGTGAATGACTGTAGTGTGAAGCACTTTGGAATCTGCTGAGACTTAATAAAGCAAGCAAAAGTTCAAGTCATTTACCATTTAAATCACTTTTTTATTTTCAAAACCAATTTCTATCTGGTTTTAAAGTTATGTACCTTCTTCTCTAGCTTGGTAAAAAAAACAGCCCCTTGTTCTACGCTTTGCTTCATACAGAGGGTCTGAACTCTTGGCTATTGAAAAAATAATTGCTTGCTGGAGGTGTGGCCTATGTTAAAGTTTAAAATTATTGGATCTGATTTTACCCAATCGCCAATGTTTGGCCATGACGGATGTAGTGTGCCAGCTTGACCGTGAAGGAAGTTAAGCTAAGAAGCTATCAGGAATGCGTGATCTGCAAAAACAACCATCCCCTATGGAGTGTAGAAAAGTACCAAGCTGAACAAGATGTCTGTAAACAAGTGCTGCAGGCTTTGTGAGAAAATTTTAATCTGATTTGGAAGACTTGTCAACACAGACTGAATGGCTTCATTCACTTCCTCCGCTTCCATTGCTAAACTACAGGCAGACTGAAAGAGCACCGACGTTGCCAGAAGTGTATTGAATATCCAGTTGAAATCAATGAGAAATCAATGTCAATGGGAAAAAGCCCAGACGGAGCAAAGGGCCAGGCTACTTCTTCCCTGGCTGAACTGCATCCTGACACTGTAGTAAATAACGTCTGACCTATTTTTAAACTTATTTGAGAATAAACATTTTTTTTTWAAAGTAAATTAAAATGGAACATAATTTCAAACATCTGGTGTGCTGCTTTAAAACATTATAAAAACAAACCTTAATCTGAAGTAGTCCTTGTGTTGGAACACTCTCAAAAATATACATCAACTCTGAAGACGAAGTGTCTCTGTCCTCTGAAAATAACACAACACTGGAGATGATCCTGGCTTCTCCTGGCTCCACCTCCAGTCCGTTGTTCCTGCAGACCATCAAAAAGACATCAGGGTCTGTAGTTTTCGACAGTCACTTATAAAACAACTGACTTCAAACTGGAACTCTGCAGATGATTGTCTAACCTGATGACATGAGGCTCCTCGTCGTTCACTGGCACCACTTCAATCATCACCTGTCTTTGAAGCAGGTGTTTGCCATCAGTCAGTTGCACGCTAAAACTATCCTTCATGTTCTCAGAGCCATCATGCAGATACACTAGTTCCATACCTGGTGCACAAGGGTGATAAAAAGAGGATAGAACTTAGATTTAGTCATAAATCAGTCAAACTGCATAACTAACATGTCTATATTCTGATTTTAGCCCCAAACTCGTAGTGACACAGTTGTGGGTTTAGTTGTTATTTTGTTGTGGTTTCTGAAGTTGGGTTTATTAAGTTTTTTCAGACATTTGTATCAAGAAGAACCCGTCCAGAAGACCTATTCAAATTATTTTAGATTTGCTACCTGAATGCATCAAGACATTTGTTAGTCGTTTYTTGTGTCTCAGCCTGTTTCCTTTGCTCCACAGATTTTGTTCCATCAGTTAATCAGCTCACATGTCTCTACTCTAAAGTTATCCATCTCATTCTGTTCAAGCTCCTTGGTTTAACTTAGTCTTCATCAGGACCTCATCGCACATTCTTGTTTAGTTACAGGTCCTAATTKTATGTAAAGAGTTTTGAATTAATCCTGCCTGCCTGTCCTGAGGAACTGCCAGAATTTCTGGTTTCAGTTACACCACCTCATGGCAGTAGATGATGACCAACATAATTCCAGCAAGCTTGTACATTACACTTGCCAGAAAAGCTGCTAAGTCAATGTTGAGGCAAGAGGAGGAGAACATTACCCTGTCTGGGTTGGTTGATTGTGAGACCTGCTARGAAAACCAGCAATCGAAGGAGTCACTGGTGTCGACCTAAATGTATCCCTCACTCTTTGTTKGTGGATGAGGAGAGTAGACTGCCTTTCTGGAGGGACTTGGCTATCAATAAAACTGCCATCTCCCAGAGTGTGGGAGTCTGTCTGGTCCAGCTCTTTACTGTGTTTCTCACTATCCCATCAACAGAGCACAACGTCCTGATCCCACCCAAGAACCGTAGACCAGGGCCAGGTTCCAGCTGAAACAAAACCCACACTGCAGCCCTTGACCTGGTCTCTGTCAACTATGTTGTTGTGTCATGTTTGGGTCTAAAGGGATCCAGGCATTTGCTCCTCCTATACCAGGTTCTCTCAGTCTCAAGTCTTTTATGGAATCTCACAGGACTATTCTCTGCCAGATCATGTCCTTAAGAGGTTCGTCTTTTTCAGTTCCTCTTCCACAAACTTCTTGAGTTCAAGGTGATCCAGGAGGACCCCTGGACCCCACCAGCTTTCAGGTCAGTCTTCCCAGATGCTACTCAGCCAACCTGTCATCAAATCATTTGCTTTTCTGACTCATCTGCCAGAGCGTCATCCGAGCTGATTTCCAGAACTCTTGCACCTGAATCATTCACAGGCTGCCTGGACAAACCTTGGTCTGTCCACCCAAACTGTCTCAGTCTGCTCCTCTTCCATTGTTTTCTATTTAAGGTGAAGCTAAATAAGGAGTAGGTTACAAGACTGAAGTAATTTGAACTTTAGCAAAATTTCTTTTCTCAAGAAAAAATGTTTGTTTTTGTTTTTTTAGTTTTTCTTTTAAATGATGTAAAAATTACCATTAGTAAGATCTGCCATGGTAAAGTCAAGGACAGGAGATTGCAGGTTGGCTCTTTGTCTCTCTGTGAGTTTTCCATCCCTGTGGGGGAGGATGTTGCCGTGCTGAGGAGGTTGGACCACAGTGAAAAGCAGGACATTCTTGGGGATGTCCAGATCCACTGCATGGAACATAGACAAGTCCAGCTGCTTCATTTCTCCCTCTTGTACCTCTTGACACAGAGAATCCAGTCAGTTTATGTCCGTACAGTCTGTCCTATGTGAACAAAATCTAAGCAGAATGTCTCAGTGTTCTGATCATCTTTTTCAATTCAATTAAAAATATTTATTCATTTCATTAAAAAATAACTATGTGCAATAAAAAACAAAGAAAATACACAAATCAAAATGAAAGGTGACAGAAGAAGAATAAATCTTATAATGTCTGCCCCTTTTATCCCCAGAATATATTAAAAAAACATAATTTACAAAACAATAAAAATAAAAACATTAACTCAAACAACAATTCATATAGCTTCTCATTTTACTTTTCCATACACCTTCAGAAAACTAGCTTTTATCTGTCTCTTAAATATTTACATAGATCTGGCATTTTTAAGATAATCTTCCAGACCATTCTACAATCCTATACCCCAGATTAAACTATACCCTGGATTAAAATACCGGTACATCTTTCTCTCAAGCAAGTACGAAAATACGGCTTCACAATCATTCCCATTCCCTTAAGATAATAACTGTCTCTCTTAACAAAGTTTGCCTGAATGTTGGAAGGTATGTTTCTGTGAGCCTTGTACATAAATAGTAAAATATTATAGTCAACCAAATCACAGAAATTCAAAAGTGGAGTGGGACTGAAATTATGAGAACTTACTGTGATGTTGTGAGTCTCAAACTCTGGGGCTTCATCATTTGTCGGGTTAATTATGACGTAAAAAGGAATGTGTGCAGAGTTATGTTTGCCATCTGACACACAGAGCATGAACTGATCCGCTGTGGGCTCCATCTTCTGGTGTCTGGACTGTACATAGTTGATATGGCCCTCAATAATGTTCTTGTATAAAAATGAAGCTGTGAAAAAGGAAGAGAGAGAACGTGAAACTATTTCTTTTACCTGCTTTTACAGTAAAGTCGTGTATAATCCTGCTCACCTACGCTGATGCCTGTGTTGCTTTGTTCAAAGCCAGGACTGGGGAGGACATTTTCTATGTAGCCAAACTGTGGAGGAGAAACCAAATTGACCACAAGCTCTTCTAAGACTGAGTCCATGTCAGAGGCCTTCAAGTGAGATGCTTTTATTGGGGCAGTCCCACCTTCATCCACTATAAAGATGTCACCTGTGAACAAGAACAAATAATTMATTCCCTTTGCAAGTTTATCTAATGAAGTTCATTTCAATATTAGACAAATATTATCTTTTACTGCCAGACAAGTTATGTAAGACAACTATTTGATCCATCCACACCCACCCTAACACCCAGCAAACCCACCACTCACAGGCCTACACAAAATATATCCAGATGTTAGCTGCAGCGGTCATCAGCCCACCTGTTTCCAGTGTTGGGGGCTGGCTGTCAACAGGAAACACTGTTATGTGGAGGTCGTAAACGGGCAGACTGTCCCGAAGCCGAGTCATGCTCTTACTCTTGGGGTTTATCCTACCACAGCAGAAAGTAGAGCTCTCCGTCTCACCGTCAGAAATAACGAAGGTGATGGTATCTTGGCGAGGAGTGAGTCCTATTTCTAGCCCTAAAACAACCAACGAGACCACTTTCAGAGACAAATTCTACTGTTTTGTGTTTAGACTTCAGAGGATGTAAGCAGGACTCCAATTTYCCTGAAATATTTAGATAATAAATCATTTAGCAGAAGGAAAATGACAGAAAAACTGGGATCATTTGCTGAAGTTCAAACCAAGCATCAGAATGGGAATAAAACAGATTTAAGTGACCTTAATGTGAAATGGTTGCTGGTCTCAGACAATCTGATTATTTCAGAAACTACAGATCTACTGGGATTTCTCCAGGCTTTACAAAGAATGATTTTTTAAAAATCTGAGCAAGCGGCAGTTGAGTAGACAAAAAAGACTTGCTGATTTCTGCAGTCCAGATGGAGTATGTGGAAGCCTTTATTCTACCCTCCCATGTTTACCTGTGTGTTTGTAGGAGATGATCCCCGTAGTGATGTCTGCTTGGATGAAGCGATCAACAATAACACCATTTCGTAGCACCACACCATAATGGGGCTGGCGGGCAATTAAGAATGCTAGGCTGCTGTTGTCACTGTCGGCATCAGTGGCATAGATGTATTCTGCAGTGATGATCATTTCTTGCCCCTCTGCACACATGAAAACTGGTTTCAAACCAGTAACCATCACTGGAACTTCATCATTGATAGGTGTTACCTGGAAATATATATGGATTTCTTTAGGTGCAAACTGGCAGTAGGTGAGTGTAAAACAAAACAAGAAAAAAATTGCACAAGTACCGAAATAAACTAGAACCACAACACTAAAACTAAGTAAATTTGTGTTTGTTTATTTATTTTGCAGTATCAAATCACATTGACAATAATATTTCACTGGAAGGCCTGATTTTTTCTATTATCTTTGCTACATTTTTAAGAAAAAGGGATTTGTGAGTTGAGCAGAGTTGTGCGGCTCGGGTGGTCGCTGAGGCAAAAACCCGGGCGTGGGAGGAGTTTGGAGAGGCCATGGAGAAAGACTTCCGCACGGCTTCGAGGCGATTCTGGTCCACCATCCGGCGTCATAGGAGGGGGAAGCAGTACAGCACCAACACTGTCTATTGTGGAGATGGTGTGCTGCTGACCTCAACTCGTGACGTTGTGGGCCGGTGGGCGGAATACTAGAAGACCTCCTCAATCC